GGGAATACCAGAGCCACAGAAGTATCTTGTTTACCTGGTTCTGCTGTGACTTAGGCTGGGCTTGGTGTGTGACAGCCCTGTCTCCTTATGTTATCACAGAAGTTTCCAGGAAAAGGCAGATTTTGAATTGCCTTTTCGTTGAAGAAAAGCATGAAGGACAAGAAGACATGAATCTGGCCAATATGAAATAGATATTACACACTGGGAAAAGGGAGAGGTTGTTTTTTTTGTTGTATGTTTGTTTTTTTTAAGAATAAAGAAGATAGGATAATATAATAGATAGAAGGAGAAAACTTTAGCTTGACCTGACCATAGGTTGAAATAAAGCCTAAGTAGAAGGCCCTTGAAGTTTATGGGAAGATCATGAAATTTAATGTGGAGGGAAACAAATCTTTGATGTTCTTTGAATCAGGAAAATGTCATCAGGATGAAGGATATACCAACTCTACCCGGTCAGGTATTTTGTTAGCACTCTGCTCTAACCAGCTGAGCTAACCGGTCACATTACACTAGGCAGGCATTTTAAAACAAAGTTTTTCATTGATACCTTTTCTTTTGGATAAAATAAATAAAATCAGAAGGATACTATCTAAGATATTTAAGACAACATGTACTTTTCAAGTTATGTAACCCATTATAGATAAGTAGATGAGTGAAGATCTTCAAATAATACTATTGAATTGAGTACAATATGCTAATCATAAATAGTTTTATCTGTTTATTTAAATGTATCTTTTAAAGATTTTATCATTTTTAAAATTTTTTTAAAAATCTAGTTTTTTTTTTTTTTTTGAGACAGTGTCTCACTCTTTTTGCCCGGGCTAGAGTGCCGTGGCGTCAGCCTATCTCACAGCAACCTCAAACTCCTGGGCTCAAGCGATCCTCCTGCCTCAGCCTTCCGAGTAGCTGGGACTACAGGCATGCGCCACCATGCCTGGCTAATTTTTTCTATATGTTTTTAGTTGTCCGATTAATTTCTTTCTAATTTTAGTAGAGATGGGGTCTCGCTCTTGCTCAGGCTGGTCTCGAACTCCTGAGCTCAAACAATCCGCTGGCCTCGGCCTCCCAGAGTCCTCATGGATCTCTCCTTACAGGATTCTTAGGGTTTTTAGCTTTATATGAATTGCTGCACAAACTCTAAATAAATTAAATTGTATTTTCCTAAAAGTGTTCTAAAATTTAATACAATTATATTTTTCTGGATTAATTTGTGCTGCATTGGTCACTCATGGTGCATGCTATGCCTTCTCCTGCTGCCCAGAGGACATTTTCCTGCCCACAGCTTCCTGCAGAGGGAGCAGACTGATGTGACCAGGTCTGTACCACATGACTAACCCAGCTGTGCTGAATAGACCAGTGGCGGGTACCGGACCCAAGGGCAGCCAATCCACAGGCAGCTTTAACCTAAGAGGCGGGCTGATGCAAATCATCTCCCAGTTAGGAGCAATGATGATCAGATGGACCAATCAGAGCCCGGCTCAGGAATCTGAATGATAACACTTGGGGACCGAATCAGTCGATTAGTGGGTGGATAAGTGAAAATGCCCACAAAAAGAAGCAGAAACAATGGGGAAAGTGTCACAGTGGCTGAGAGCAGTTGTGGGGTGGGGCGGGGGACAGCAAGCTCCTGCCGACTCCCGACAGTGTTTAACCTCCATCAGGCCTGCGGAGTGGCTGTACTGCGTTCCCTGAGTTTTGTCTCCCTGTCATATGTAACCTTAAAATGAAACTCCATTTCTGAAACAGCCTGACTGGGATGCTTGCAACCTGTAACAACCCAAATCTAACTCAAACATAGTCTAAAATTCGGTAAAATTGTGGTGTAAATTTCACAGGTAATTTGGTACAAACAAGTTCAATTTTACCTTCACTAATTTTAGAAAAAACATTTTGGGAGACAATATTAGGCCATTGTATATGGCTTCAGTGGGCTTTATTTATTTGTTTTTGAGACAGTCTCATTCTGTTGCCCAGGCGAGTGCCGTGGCGTCAGCCTAGCTCACAGCAACCTCAAACTCCCGGGCTCAAGTGAGCCTCCTCCGAGCAGCTGGAACTACCAGCGTGTGCCAGGACGCCCAGCTAACTTTTCGATTTTTAGTAGAGACGGGGTCTCGCTTTTGCTCAGGCTGGTCTCGAACTCCTGAGCTCAAGTGATCCTCCTGCCTCGGCTTCTGAGAGTGCTACGATTACAGGCGTGAGCCCCCATGCCCTGTCTTCAACGGGTTTTAAAAAATTTGTTAGCCAACTCTACAGAAACATCTCCTGCCTGCAAAATAAAATGAAACAAAATTATGTTGAAGGTATTATATCACCGTCATCATTATTGGGCTAAACACCAGGAGGAGGCCGGGCGTGGTGACTCACGCCTGTAATCCTAGCACTCTGGGAGGCCCAGGTGGGAGGATCGTTGGAGCTCAGGAGTTCGAGAGCAGCCTGAGCAAGAGCGAGACCCCTGTCTCTACTAAAAATAGAAAGAAATTAGCTGGACAACTAAAAATATCTATATATAGGAAAAATTAGCCGGGCATGGTGGCGCATGCCTGTAGTCCCAGCTACTTGGGAAGCTGAGGCAGGAGGATCGCTTGAGCCCAGGAGTTTGAGGTTGCTGTGAGCTAGGCTGCCGCAACGGCACTCTAGCCAGGGCAACAGAGCCAGACTCTGTCTCAAAAAGAAAAACAAACAAACAAAAAAAAAACCAGGAGGATCAGTGATAATAGTTTTTTTGCAGAGGGGATGCAAGGTCACGTGGCTTGCTTCCATCTCTCAAATTAGGTTCTTTGTGGGGATGCCACCTAATGTATAGGCCAGAGCCTTGCTTCATGCTTAAACATTTTGTTTTTCAGTTTTTTATTGCCAATAAGAGAAGAAGGTAAAATGTTTTGGTCATTTACCTAGGTCCTAGGTTGTGCTGATACATTGTTTGGGGCACAGATTTCTAAATAGAGCAGCTAATTTTAGTGTAGCAGAAACGTATATGAAAATGTTGGAACATTGTATAGAGGATGAGCACTTGAACAGGGGTTGGGAACCTGGATTCTGGTCTTGGTTCTGCCACTAATAAGCCATGTTATACTGGGTAAGTGTGTCTTCCTTATCTGTAAAACAAGGGAACTGTGTTCCTAAAATTGGCTGCACTGTGTTATCTCCCCCCTAAAAATGCAAGCTCCGCCAAAGCAGTGTTGTCTGCCTTGTCTAGGGCTGAGTCCTAGAATGTTTCATGGTACCTTGCAGATGCTCAGGACATATTTGTTGCTATTGAATAATCTATGCTGTACGTTGTCCATTGAAAAGTCTCTCTGACGTGTACAGAGCCTTAGTTATTCTCAAGGTGCTTTCACCTAGCAGGTACTCAGCACTCATTGGTCTGAAATATCTCATTTGTTCTCAACAGGGAATATATCTTACATACTAGTACAGAAATATAGGTATGGAAAAGCCTCTTAGAAGGGAAGAAGACTGGCCTAGGAGTCAGAAAACCTGGTTAACTACTAATTACTGTGTGCCTTTGGGTAAGTCACTCAATTTCTCCAAGCTTCTATTCTCTCATTTGCAAGGTAGGAGGGCTGAATCAGACCCTAAGGACCCTTCTGGAGGCACACCTCTGACGCTGGTCCTGTTATACCTGTTATAAATAACAAATGAGTGTTAAGGACAAGTGAAACCACTGAGAAGAATGTGTGGCTGCACGAGGAACAAAGACAAGACAATTAGTGCAGAGGCAGCAGCTTATTAGAAGCAGCAAGACAGGCAGACTATGCTTTTTATGTTCACCACTTAAAATCATTTATGAGCATCAACTGGGGTGGCTCTTCCTTTGCTGTTATTGGTTCAACAAAGCAGGTCACTGCCCTCAGCCATGTCTTCTGCCATATTAGCTGTCACGGGATGGTAACATCATAGAAGGAAGCCTGCCAGCTTGGAAGTCCATGGACATATCCATGTTATTTAAATCGCCCAGTTGTGATCCTGACAATTCTTCTAATTTTTCTCAAAAAATTAAAAATAGAATTACCATATATTACTATATGATCCATCAATCCCACTGTCAGGTATATATCCAAAAGAATTGAAAGCAAGACTTCAAAGAGATGTTTGCACACCCATGCAAATATTGCAGCATTATTCACAATAGCCAACAGGTAAAAGCAACCCAAAAGTCAAAAATGTGGACTTCAGGATGCTAAATTTCCAGAAGGAAAGTTAATAAAGAAGATTATATAGAAAAAAAAAAAGAAAGTGTGGTATATACATTCAATGGAATATTACTCAGCATTAGAAAGGAAGAAAATCTTGTCTCATGCTACAACATGGGCAGACCTTGAGCTTGAGGACATCATGCTAAGTGAAATAAACTAGTCACAAAAAGACAAATACTGTATGATTCTGTTATATGAGATCTAAAATACTCAAACTCACAAAAAGTAGAATGGTGGTTGCCATGGGCTGGGGGGAGTTATTGTTCAAGGGGTTTAGAATCTCAGTTTTGCAAGATGAGAAAGTTCTAGGAGATCTTTTGTACAATATGAACATAGTTAACACTATTGAACTATAAGCTTAAGCATTTTAAGATGGTAAATTTTGTTATGTGTTTTTTAGCATAATTTGAAAGAATGGCTAGAAAAGTAATCCCATAGTAAGTTGCTACTGACCTCTATACTTTGTCACATTGGAATGCCCCTAATTTCTTCAGACCAGCCTCTTTCGGTCCTATGAGTAACAGGCACTGATTCTTTCCAGCATTGCTAAGAAAGGGAATTTTCCAGTTACATGAATGAAGAAAGAGACACACAGTCAAGGTAGGGGGGCCAGCAAGATTATAATTATGCTTGGAAGGGTGTCTTCTGATGGAGGGCCCCGGTGGATGAAAAGGGCCAGGAAACAGAAGGAAGGGGCCGATGCTTCATCAGCAGTGCGGCTCGGTGGGCATCCCAGTGGCCCATCAGGGCTACGTTACCCAGGATGGTCTTCTGGGTTCTCACTCCTCATGTTTCCTGTAGACTTTATACGCCTGCATCTTGCTGGGGGCTCAGTTTAGCCCGTGGGATGAAACACTCTTGTGTGGGATCAACCGTCTGGAAAGAAAGAAATGCCATCGTCAACTTTCTGAGCCAACATAGGGGATGACACCCTGCAGAACTATGTTTGAAGTACTGTCTCACCACTGTTTAATTCTTTGTTAATAAAAAAAAAAAGAAGAAAAAAGTGCTGAGCCTCCTCCTATCAGGCTTCCCTCTTAGCCATGAACAGGGATCTTTTTGCAAGGTTCTTGAATAGCTGATTGCTGGAAATTGAAACTAATCCAAGAAACTCTCAGAGGGGATAATAAAGATATTCTCATCTTGTGAATGCCCTTCTGAGTATTGATTAAAGCAAATGATATAGCCATGTCCTGGCCCATGTGTCTGCCATTCTAGGAAAAGCAAATTCTCAGGTAACAGACCAGAGGGATTAGCTTAGTTATTTGCCTAGTAAAGTTCATTGAACAAACAGTGTCAGCGTGGCTTTCACTCTGGAATTTTAGTTATTTTTGATCCCTATAATACAGGAATGGTGTCCCAATGTGGTATTTTTGGCTGTCCAGATGTGTACGTCTTCAAGCCATCCCAGCACAAATGTGCGTTACCCTCCAACTATTCAGCAGTGCTCCCTCTGTTTTTGCCTGAAAGGATTAAAATTGGTTCATCCATCTGGCACCCAGATGATGGTGACAGACCTAGACCAGTTCTCGGGGTGGCCTGGGCTGCTGGAGCTGGACAGTGAATAAGAGAGAGACAGGCAGTGGGACTCAGGCGATAGATTCAGACAACGGCCACTAAAAACAGACCTCGAGCTCATACACATTTACAATTGTCCCCAAGGCAAAACTCGGTGAGCCTGTTCCTCTTCACCTTCACATAAACCCTTCAAGCTGCCTCGTCTTTCCAGGGCCATGCCCCTGCCGCAGAATACTAGATTGCTGATGTGGCGAAGACCGGGAGGGATCCGGGTGGAGGCCAAAGGCGTGCCCCGGCTCTCTCGCGCCACCTGGCCTGGCTTAAATCTGGGTGCCTGTAGGGACGATCCTGCCCTGCCTTTCCTGTCTTGCATCGGTAAAGCCACTGCAAGTGAATCCTGAGGCTCTGCTAAGGAAGGCGTGCTGGCTATGTCCCTCCTGGGTGAACGCAGACGAGCACATTTACCTGCGGCTGAATGGGAGTACCATAGGAAGTTAATGCTACATCCTCCTCAGCTCCATCACTGTCTCGGGCTGAAAGCCAAACGAGGGAAGGGCTGGGTTAGTGTCAGAGCGTCACGTGGAGACGGCACATGAGGATGCTAGGAAGACTCAATGGCTCGCAGAGAGGCTGCTGACTCTTTAAAAGGAATTCTCAGTTGAGGCTGTCATTGAAAAGATTGATGATTTAAAAGAGTGTTTGTGGAGTGCGTGAGGAAGGTTGCGTGCGGGTAGCCAGTGAAGGTTCAGGAGCACACCCGTGCTAGAACAGCACCAACGTTGGGTCAGATGCCTTGCTCTCGCAGTGTCACCTGTGTGACCTTGGGCATCGCCCTCTTTTCAACAGCCCCTTTAGTCTTGATTCTCTACAAGCTTGAATTCAATTTTTAAAACTGGACATAATAAAAAAGGTCACTTGAGACAATCCTATGCTGTTGCAGAATAATCACACATACAGTTTAATGTCCGTCTCCTCAAACAGACTGTAAGCTCTGTGAAGGCAGGAACTGTATCTATCTCTAAGGCCAGGCACTTGCTGGATATATTTAATATATTTGTCTTGTGACGATCACAGGCATAACTGTGTCACTACTGTTCACACTTAGAGACTGCAGTGTTGCGTGGGGGACCCTGGAGAAGACTGCTTGGGTCTCCCACGTCTGTTACCCATAGCTAAGCTCCTTAACCTGTTGTTGCCTTTCCTTCCCGATGGAAATGAAAGAGGTATAATGACAGTCATAATAGTACATCTATTTCATAAGGTTGCTTTGAAGATTATATAAAATATATGTAAAGCCCTCAGAACAGGGCATGATGTATAGAAAACACTGTGCAAGTCCTTTGTATATTATCATTGGTGCAGGTGCTGGTGGTGTAGTTATAACTGATGCTCGGATGTCCTCCTCCTAGTGACATTTTTTTAGGGTGGGTGCTGTGGTAGATGAAATGCTTGCCCTTGTTTCATGGCAGAGGGATCTGAATCCTTAACTTTGTTCCTTGTGGCCTAACGAGGCTCCTCCATACTCAGTCCCTTGGTAACCAACTTACACCCAACATTCTTATCAGACCAGACCATAAGTTAGAAAAGCCTCGTTCTTCCAGCTCTAGTTATTATGCATGAATTTACCAAAAGGCTGAGTGTTTTTCTACATTAAACTTGCAACCACCTCACGGTAGGAAGTCTGAGTTGACCAATACCTTCCATTTCATACACGGAGGAGGCAGGGGAGAGTCATCATGAACATCGTTTAAACACAAGGAGTCTGAGGCTCCTGCAGGTTGAGGACGTTGGCTTGGTCTCAAAGTTGGTGAGAAGCACAGTGTCGGGGCCAGGGTGGCGAGGCCGATTCTGTGCTCTTTCCACTGCCTCCTGCTGCCCAGTTAGCTCCTGCTCCCCGAATCTCTGTGAATGTCATCATCCTCGCCTTATCTGTCCTCAGACCAAACAAATCCTGCCCATGACCCCCTGTCTTCTTCCCTGTTTTATGCTAGCTCTCTCTCTGTGACCCGTAACTCTCAAGGGTGACAAAAAGAGAGCTTCCTATGGAAGCACAAACAAAAATGACATCACCTGGGACCATTCAAATTGGGTTTCCCCTGGTAAGGTGGGTGTGCCTTGGAGAAAAAAATGTTGAGAATTGTCAGCAAAAGCTGGTATTTGCTAGGGAGAATGACTGGAAGGGCTTATGTTTGCAGGAACAGTTTTCTCTTGGTTTACCTCAGTTTTCTCTTGGTTTACCTCATTTTACACTCATTGACTCATTTTTACATTATATAGTCTCATTGATTATCTTCATGTCCTTTTGCTTTCCAAAAGAATCATACTGGGTTTGTCTGTACACATTCAAACACTGGATGGAAAAATGCCCACAGTAATGTGACATTTGCAAATATAAATGGGTCTTACTTTCAGCAAGCTTGATAAAACGATATTCTAATTTGTCTAAAACAGATAAAAGCAGGCAATAATTAGAAGAACGTCCCCCTCACAAAAAAGATTCATAGTTGATATTATACTATATTATATTAAAGATCTCTGCAAGTTATATCACATTTAAAATTTGCAGTTAAAAGAGCAACTGATTTTGTTCTATTTATTTATTTTGGAGGTTAGTTACGGCTTTCTCAGGAACAGAAATATTCTGAAATTCACTAACTCTAAATATAAAACAAGTAGTATATCCATCAGCTAATCTAATTAATGAAGGATATGTTAAAAAGTAACATAATCCCAGGCACATATAAATGAAGTAATTAAACATCAACATAATTTCAGAATTGCTTCTTCATTTTTATTTTGCATTTTAATTGCTTCATTTATAGACACATAGGTTCTTTACCCTAATCTTATGTACCTTTATATTACAGTTTCCTGTGCCTAACAATATGTTGAGCATGTAAAACTTTAATCAAATGCTGTGAAAACACAGGTCTGTATTATTGGCTTACGATTCTAGTTAAGAGCAACTGATTTTTAAAAGTTCTATCGATATACAGCTTTTCAGGAAGACATTCGTAACATGGGGCAAAGAATGTTTACACCTGTTTGTTTGGTGTCCCGTGGTAACATGCCTGATTGCATTTTCATTCCCCATCTAGATGTTTTTATATCTTAGAATTAACTCCCTAAACCATTTCAGAGGAATAAAGCCTAATCTTCTTTTGAAAGACTCCCAGGGAAATTGAGTCCTTAATCCCCTTTGCTGATCTCTCTCAGTGTTTACCAACTCTTATTTTCAGACTTAATTGAAACCCCTCATGCCTCTGTTTGAGTCCATTTCCAGTCCATTGTCCTTAGTCGAAGATAGAAAACAACACAACAGCCTCTTCGAGAGAGGGCTTCGCACCCGTGAAATTCTCTAATACCCCTAGTCTTACTCTCCTTTCAGATGAATAAGTCTGGTCTCCTAACCCAGTGGTAAATCAAGTAATTATGCGACTGGCGTCACAGCTAGAAGCAGCATTAGTCAGAAGAGTCACACGACAAATGCATGCCTTAGGGACTCAGACAAAATGTTGTGTCTTGGTACAGAATTTCAAGAGCGAGAACTCGGATGATCTCTGAGAAAGGCACATAAAGTTTAAGAACAACCATCGCAGTCTCGTTGCCTTAACCTTTCCACACGGAACTGATGTTATAACCCTTTACTCATCTTTGTGGTTCTCTGTGGAGCCTTCTCCAAGCTTCCCACACGTCTCATTAGTGGACCAGACCTGGACTGGGTATTCTTGCTGGAGACTGACCGACTGACCAGTTGTTCTTGCTGACCGCACATCTGTTTATAGAGTACCACAGTTGTTTCTTGAGCAAACAAAAACAAAGACAGTGGGAAGCTGCTTCCCTGCTGTCAGGTCATGCCCTACGACACTTAGTATTTTTCAGGTTATTGTTATTATACTTGCCTGGCTATTACCTGTTTTGTATCTATTTGTATGTTTTTCCTAGCTAGTGGAATGCTATACTTTTTGTTGAGTTTTAATCATTCTTCTAAATTTCAGTATTTGTACTTTTTCCAGGTGACCTAAATTCTGATTCTTTTCTTTGAGCTTAAGTTTCTGGTTGTTCTGCCCCATCTTGGAGCACAATCTATATGTTCTTTACTGCACTATTGATTTTTTTTTTCACAAGATATCAAACTGCATTGGCAATGATTATCACTGGCAGAACACTTCCTGCTCAGAAATGGATTTTCTAACCCTGCTTGAGTAACAGGGTAGTGTTAGCCAAATCAGGAAACACTGTAGTTTGTGCAAGCCCTTGCCCTCCAACTAAGATGACTCCTTCGAACACTTGAAACACTTGCCTAGTATTTTTGGGATATGGAATATTGACCTTACAAGTCCCAGTGCATTTTGGGCTATTGTGAAACTCTAAGAACTTCTTTCTCTCTGACTTTTGTTTCCTGGAAACATATAATAACAACAAAAACACGAAAAGTTTTATCTTATCTTTGGGTAAAAACTATGAGAAGTATTTTCAAAAGATCGACTCTGCAATTCTGCCAGAAACTTCAGAGATATGATTATGCATCATCAACAAGCAATGAAAAACTTTTATAGGAAGGATGTATAATGTCAATTTCCAACTCTTGGTCAACTGAACTGAAAAGAATTAATGGATGTATTTATCTGAGCAGAGTTTAATTTGAATGTGTAATTAGCCATAGATTATAGCTCAAAAAAGTGTATGTACTTAAAAGAAAAGCTTATATTAATTTTTTTGAGCTTGGTGAACATTATGTGTGCTATGCAGCATATAAAATAACATAATCGTTACAGATTAGAAATCAGATGCCTATTAAGACACAAAAATTGATGTAAAACTATGATATTAGGTCACAAATAATAGGCCAGATGTTTCAGAAAAGGAATTAATGAGTTTTGACATATTTCCAGATAACTGAAATTTAGTCCCATTTCCCCCAGGTTGTTGGGGTCCAAGCATCCTTGTGGCCATGGATGATATATTTTATTCCTCAACAAAGTATAGTCAGGTGGCTTGGATAAAAATATGAGCCAGACATTATTATGAAAATGTCACATAAGCAAGTCGCTTTATTTCTGCTCACGATTACACATCTGAGTCCTCACTCAGAATTCTGATGTAATGGCCCTTCCTATTGCTTTTTATGAACCTTGAAGGATTTTAAACAGTGAGTGGTTTGAAAAGTAGAAATCCAAAAGCTGTTAGGCTTCATGCCTTTAATGAGGTGGTGAGTCTTAAGATTATGTTTAGGCTATTAGCTTTCAGATTTAAATTTTAAAAATGTCAATCAGTGTTGCCAGGATTGACTTTTGTACTTAATGGCCAACACATCTGGACTTAGCATTAGATGTCATGCAATTGCATGGTCCAAGCCTAATTTGGGGCTGGTTAACTCATTTTATAGTGGATGCCTTTCTTTTTATTTTATTTTTTATTTCTCCACTTTTGAAGGATATGGATGCCTTTCTTTACACAGCATGAGCACTCAGAGTCACACCCTCTTTATTTAGGGCCTTTGGTTCATTTCTGTCTTGATCTGTCCCCATAAAGCTCTACGTTTTGGAAAAACTGAGTTTTCATAAAAATTTAACCTTGATTCTGGGAGTCTTCATCTCCATGCCTGAACTATGAAGCCACCCACCAAAAATTTGATGATTCCCTTTTTGTTCCCTTTTGCTTCATCCAGTTGCCCTACTTCTGTGTTTCTCCCCCTGGAATTCCCTGCTTCCTGAATCTCCCAGGAAAGTACCTCTTGAGGACTGCTGGTTCTCCACGCAGAAGCTGCGTTGGTAGGCTGGGATGGGGCGGGCGTTGTCTTGTAGAGGGCAGTCCTGCCTACACGATCTGTAGAGAATGCAGAGCTCAGGAATGATGTATAGCAGCAGGAAAACCCATGCATTGGTGACCAGGGCAATGCAGATGACCGGGTCGTCCCACTGGGGCTGGCGCTGGAACTGTGGGTTGCCTCTCAGCAGCATGGAGATCCACACCATCCAGATAATGATGGAGAAGAGCACAGTGATGAAGATGAGCCTTCCATGCTGCTTCCAGTTCTCACATGGGCCACAGAAGGTGGCTTTGGAGACGAAGAACGTGAGGGCCATCAGGAAGAGGACATAGACCAGGAGTACGACAAAGTCCACATTGAGCTGGCAGGGTGTCATGTTCACAAACCTCATACCCCTGGTCATGATGAGGGTCACATACTCAATGGCAATAATTATTTGCAACAGACTGCACCCGATAGCAATGCACAGAATTGTTGTCCAACAGAAGGAGACTCGACCCCGGACCAGCTTCACCAGGTTGGAGGCATGAGCCAAGAGGCATGAGAAGCAGAGCGCAAAGAGAACCCCAAAGAGAAAGTAGCGCACGGGGGCGGTTTGTTCATTGAGCTGGATGATGAAGGCAAAAGCAAGTCCAAAGAGCCCCAGCACACTGAGGAGAAAGAGGAACTGGGTGGGGAGGACATTCCACTGGCTGCAGTCTTGCACCTTTCGCATGAGAAAGAGACATGCCAAGAGTAGCATTATTGTAACCACTATGCCAAGGATTGCCAGGGACTCCAGAACAATGCCCCATACTCCCTCGCTGTCGCAGAAGAGAAAATAGTCTTCTGTGGACTTGATGCAGTCCTCATACATGGTGACTTGTAGGTGGACCTCACAAGAATGGTCTTCTGACCCCCTACGGAAAAAAGATGAGACAAACTTACGACTTGACATCCACGCACAAGAGTGCCTGTTGGATAGTCTTATGCAGGGCACTATAATGTCGCTCATTCTGAAATGAGCACACCTGAGCATATGACAGAAATGACATTACCAAAACTGTCACTAGGATACTGGAGAGAGTCTGAGTTGCATTTTATTTGACCCTTGATACTTATCTAAATGCTAAGCTTCCTTAGGGGGAAAATCAGAGGTATATACAAACACGGTCTAAGGGGATGGGAAATGCCGTCACATATATGACCCCCAAATTTGTGACTGTTGTATATAGGATGTCAGTAAAGGAAATGAAAAAGTCAACTTAAAACCCTCAAAAGTATATTAGCTCCATCCTTCTGCTGGGAAAATCAGGACAGACTTCATTTGGGGGTTCCAGATAATTCATGCATTTTTGTATCATAGTGTCCAAGGCTTTTTAAAAGTGAATTCAAAATCTTCTTCTTAAAGTGGAGTATGTGACAATGTTCCCAAGATTGATGGGATTCCAGTTATATCAAGCACTAGAATGAGGGTTGCCAATATTAATGGGTCATTGGATCATTCTAGACACTGAGGCACTGCTTGAAGGAGACAGGCAGATGATTTTTCTCAGTGATTTAAATGACTGCTTGCTCTTTCAATTCAATTTAAGTCAACCCAATGCAACAGGTTATAATTAAACACCTACTATTTGTTCATCAAAGAATTATACAAAATGGTCCTTTTCCTTTAAATAACTTTTTGGACAGTTTAGCACCAAAGTCCATCTCTTGACTGAGGTGGTCTAGAAAAAAAATCCCCCATATTCCCTTGGAAAAAAATAACTTGCAATTGAATACCCCTAGTGCCATTTCCCTTCAGATATTCCCAAACCAGATGGTGGAGCCATCCAGGTTTACAGCCGAGGGCATGGCCCCTCACTTGCGACTTACCTTCTGCGTGTCCACTCTGGAAGCTGAGACTGTGGCGCTGGCCGGGCTGTGACTGCCAATGAGTAAGGAGGAGGCGACCTCAGCTTCTTTAATCTCTCCCCAAATGGGCGGAAGAACTGCAGGCCCTCACTCAGGTCCCCGCAGTGCCTATAAAAAGAACCGGAAGGACAGAAAGACACACCTATTCTAGTTTCACAGCAACTTTTCTACAGAGAGTTCTTTGGTGAGAGCAATGATTTTTCATTCTGTTGCTGACCGGAGGCACCTTGGCCTCAGTGAGTTCCCGAAGGGGGTGTGAATTTAGGAAAGACTGCTTCCTCCCCGCATCTCCCAGCGTATTCAGGAAGCTACAGGAGGCCCACAGTTGGCCTTACACAAGGACACTTCATCTTTCTTCTGACTTACTCCTTAAAAAACCCATCTTCAGAGACTTCCCCACATCTTGATTTTAACTGTAGGATTCAAGCAAGCAGCCGCTCAACAAAGTGCAGGTAATGAGAGTTTCGCTGGGCCATAAGGAAGGGTGATTTTACCTACTATTGGCATTAAAATGCCATTAAAATGGCCAGTGGTAGGCAACATTGTGCTTTAGGGGAAGTTTGTCTTCTCTACTAATCTCTTCTCCTTTCTTTTGAAAATCCTTCCTCAGGCCTTGGCTGCTCATCACGGGTGGGCACCTGCTTGGACCAGCTATTCTTGGCATTTTCCAAGGCTTTGGCTTTAATTTCCCTCCATCCTGTCCCTCCTCACTGCCAAAAGAACACGCTTGCTCTGGGTCTCATTTCTTGGGGCATTGCTAGGTCCCGAGATAAAAGAACTCTCAATGGCATGCCACCAGCTGATACTGAAGAAATATATTCCTTTCCTCCTTTGGTGACATGTAGTAAAGCACACAGCATAGTGTCCAGCCTGTATCCAATCCCCCTCCCCCATTATCTCTGATTCTTCTCCTGAATGTTCGCATTTTGATGGAGGACCTCTGAAGACCTCGAGTCAGTGCCCATTTAGGCTGGTTTCAAGACGCACCATGACCTGGCTCTACCTTTCCTGTCCACCATATTTCTTTCCGGTCTCCAGGCCCTACGGTTTGGCCAGGTTGGTTTCCCCACTGCCTCGCAAAGAAACAAGCTCACATCTGGGCCGGGCACGGTGGCTCACGCCTGTAATCCTAGCACTCTGGGAGGCCGAGGAGGGCGGATTGTTTCAGCTCAGGAGTTCAAAACCAGCCTGAGCAAGAGCAAGACCCCGTCTCTACTAAAAATAGAAAGAAATGATCTGGACAACTAAAAACATATAGAAAAAAAAAAACTAGCCGGGCATGGTGGCACATACCTGTAGTCCCAGTTACTCGGGAGGCTGAGGCAGGAGGAT